AGTGTTTAATTTACCCTAAATCCTGTGGTCATTTCCCTTTCAGAGGGCAATCCTGATGAAAATCAACCAGCAAAATACACAGAAATACAAGTAAACCAAGTGACAGACACAAGTGAAGGATTTCTCCCTCCAATAAAAACTACTGGAATGTACTCAATGGTGCACTGAGGATGGCAATCATGAAAACAAAAAAAATTTATCAGAAATCCCTATAAATATTCTTTGATGAGAGAGTCTCATCATTAACGAGTTTTCAATAGCCTATTTCTCTTTAGGTTCTTCAACCTTTTCTCCCCTAAGATCTAAATATCTCTGACATACATTTCATAATTCAGCTCTGAGGATTGTGAAAAACTAGTGTAATACTTTCCTTTCTTCTTGTCACCTTTCTGCTTGACAACGTAGTGCTATGTAAGGGAGAAAGTAGTCATTCACAACATTGTTTTGGAGAAAAAGATTGGTTCTTGATGTCACAGATGAAGTCCTTTGATAACTCCAGCGTTGCTTAGTAAATTTTGATACCTGATTTACCTTTCAATCAAATGCATTCCAATACTCAATTTGTTCAAGAAAACATCAGATAAAGATTAAGAGTGGCATTCTTTTTTCTAATTTTCAATTTCATTGTGTCAAGGCAAATTTTTATGTAGATATCTGATATCTTGTGTTGTAAATAAACCTTGCTATGTTTAAGTGTTAAAACTTGACTTATCTTTAGTGTGTGGACAAGCAGTCCTCATGTTTACGTGTCAGTAATTGTCAGTTTGAAATTGTGTGCTACAGGATATTTGTCAAGACAAAAATTAAGACAATATTGACTCTCATTTTATTGATATTCAAAGGAATATACACTGAAGCTGAGTTATACCAAAGATAAAAATCCTTACATTTTTTTTGTACAAAAATAACCAAAAAAATAATAATGGCTGACATATATCTATATTTCTGTCTTAAAAAAAAACAAATACTTATGAATAACTCATTATCAATTTAAAGCTCTGTAAATCTGTATGCCATCATGACTAGTGTTAACCAATCCTAGATAATTATATTGAACTAACCATAGAGACTTTGGGATGCCTTCTCTTTGCGCAATTTTTCATGGCTGTTTTACTGTTGGTCATATCCCATACAAATCCTAAAGCTTTAACATGACACTAAGGACCAGATTCATGATTTGACGTCAGTTTGCATTGACTATAGTTACCAAATCACTAACTCCTTATTGACCACTTCAAAATTCAATTATGTAAAAAATTAGTTGTCCTTTATGAGAAAAAAAGAACAATCTAGAAAGTTGGTTTACACGTAGAAAACATTGTTAATTGTAATCAAAGCGTAATGGCAACATTTTCAAAACGATACAAAAATACATTCTTTATCGCAATACAAAGTAAAATGATGACATGACTAAGAGGCCTAACAGCAAACCCTGCTCTCATGATCATGACTGTAAGTGCTACTTCTGTTAAATTTGGCAAGTCTACAAATAGGATGAAGAGTACGAAATTTTGAACAATGTTTACCACGAGTGAAAATTACTGTTACAAACGTCTATATCAGAAAGTTGGTTTACTAGGGAATGAAAGTTTCAAATGTTTTCAAACTTACCCGGGTTATAACGTTTACGTGAAAAAAAAATGAATGAAAAAACGAAATTCTTTATCAGATACAAGCACGAACAGTCAAGATCTGCGTGGAACGCGTTTGACGCGACTTTGGCGTGGATCACTTTAAAACTTGCAAGGCTTAAGTTGCACGTGACCACGCGAAGCTTGCGTGGATCCTAACTACTGACACGGGTTTGCTTGGTTTCGCTTGATTAACGCTCCATTCCGCGTTCTCCTCGAGTTTCACGCTCCCCTATGACAAGCATATTGCTTGTTCCCCAATTTCCTTCGAAACAATCTAGGAATGCAACGCGTACAAAATTTCAATTCTAATTTTAACCTCTTACGAGTTTGTCAAACTCGTTTTTTCTGATGCATCCTAACTAATGTATGAACAGGTAGAACCCATTTCTAATAAACTTTGATATTTACTTTCAATTATTTTCATTTTCTGATCACGAATGTGTTACCGTTTATTATCCTTACAAATTATTGTCACTAGCTTAAATTCTAATGACCAATTTTTTCCTCTCTACTTCCACATGTGCACATTCGATTTTTAATTTCCATTGAAATAAAAATTGTGCATTTTATTTTCTTTCTAGGCTTCACACACAAAAAAGTTAATGGATCCTACGGCTCATGTCTTAGGGCCTCTATCTTTGGGACGTCTTAAGGACTTTTGCCGAACTCTGAGCTCGTCCACGATGTGCTTCGTGGAGCCTTGCCGTCGAAGATGTACTGACTGTTGACAGAAATTGCCAAATATCAATGATAAAAAATAATTTCAAAAAGGTAATTTGACAAAGGGAGGACACCATACGATAAAGATATCAAATGGCTCAGTAACAAATGAATAAAAGGGGTACGTTTCTAGGGAAACTGTGGTGCTGCGTCGTTAGGAGATATAACAAGATAATTTGACTCTATAAATTCACCACCGTAAAGAGATAATAATTACAATAATAATATAATAATAACAGTCTTTACACAGGGGGCCCACGTCACTGGAAAGTGGTATTTTGCGAGTCCCTGTAGAGGGCCTCACATACTAAAGCTTACGTTTCGAGTGTTAGCCCTTCGTCTTTTGCTGACGAAGGGCTGACGCTCGAAACGTCAGTTTTAGAAACTCTTTACAGTGGCAAATTTACATTTTCAACTCAGTTGATAGGACCAAATTATTTGGTTAAGTAACAAACCTGTCTTCCAAGGAATAAAGGCGAATCGTCTCCCTGTGCGCCCTGTTTAAAGAAACAAACTTAGTAAAAATTTTTAGCGCTGGTAGAAGCAAAGAAAAGATTTCCATGTAACCCCATACAATTCTCAAACAAAGCCTCTGTCCGAAACGTCATCTATTGTTGTCGCCGTTTAGACTAGTAGTTACCTTTATCAGCAATCCCCATGCAGAATTAAGTACGGAATTATGGGGAAATTGGGTCGCTGATAAGCTTTTTTACCTCTCGAATTTATTTGAGCTTGTTTTGTATTCTGTTATTCTGTTATTTTGTATTCAAATTATAGTTTTTTTTAGCAATGTCCTTTGCTTTTAAAACAGCATAACGCATTTGAGAGGCCAGCAAGCAGAGAGCTCGCGCAGGATAATTTCAACAACAATTTCGGAAGATCAAAAATATTTGTAGATCTCTTTTCATATCTTGTTGTACGAAGACTGTTTTTTACCTTTGGACCCACCAAGGAGTATAACACCTCTGAGTCCTGTGTGGGATCTGACCAAATGCCTTCAGGATGCTGAAAAAAAAATTCGAAAAAGGCTTGCGTGAGACGGGCTGCTGATTTGCTTTAGGAAACACTTTCCATGTGGTTATTAGAAACTTTCTCTTACTGCAGCTGTTGATTTATCACCTTTGGAGCATTTTTCAATTGAATGTCGAAAGTTATCCGAGACTTCTTTGGCTTTTCTCACCTTTGCACTGTGATTGGTCTAGTAAATACGCGCTAGTTATCGTTTAACCAATCAGGCACAAAACTATAGGCAATGGAGTCTTGGTCATTCCCGCGCTTCAAGCAGTTTTCTTGTTTTCACCTTGAGTTCTCATTGGCTAATGATGATGTAACCTTGGTTCTGATTGGTTTCTGGGATTATTTTGGTATTGGTTGATTGACACTCAATTGAAAATTTCTTTCATCTGCGTCAAGGTCTTCTGCTTGCCCCTGAATGCAGCTCAACAGGAGTTCTGGTTTTTAGTGGAATGTCTTCGCAATATTTCAAAGAACATGCAGCGAAGTATAAATTGATGTGGATCTCCCCTGAAACAAAGAACTATTCGCATATCTTAAAGAACTCGAACAAAAAAATTGAAACCTTGAACACGGCTCGACTCAATATATTTTGTCACTCTTCTTTCTCGCGACTAGAAATATTTATATATTTATTAAGACCACGGTGTTAGAGTAAACCCAGAATTAGTTTCAACTGAATTATTTTTGTACCTTCATGTTCAGTGTTGCAGCCAACCAACGGTTCCTATCATCCTTGTCTTTGGCACACATATACCTACAGCGAAAACATTAACAAAATCGTTTGATTCGAATTAAGCGTCTAAAGCTGTAAATGTTTGTAAATCAAATCTAAATACATCTTGCCCGCGTCGCACACACTTGACAATAATGCAGGAAACACGCGCAAGAGAGCAGAAATTTCTCACTCCGACGTGCCTGACTTAATCCATATCTTTACCTCTGGGAGTGTCTTCTCTTTCCTCCACCCCCCTAGTGTTCTCCTCGCTCTCTCTTCCCCTAAAGTAATCTGTTCGTGTTCTCTTTTCTTAACCCTTCCCTCCCGCGCTTTCTTTTCCTGCCTTCCTTTTCTCCCAAGTAACAACAGGCGACGCCATAAGGATGCTCTAGGTCTGATTAAATCTGCAATACTAGACGTTTTTGACTGTTTTCTACCAACCTGACAATGTCTTCCTGATCTGTTTTAACCACAACAGTGAACCCGCAACTAAGAAGAATAAAATAACCAAAAAATTCATGATAATCAGCCAACAGAATACAGAGCAATTCTTATGAATGCAGTTCAAGCTAATGCACGCCAATACTTTTTTATACGCGCTATCTGAACGATTCAGCGCGAAGAAGATTTGCGCAAAGATTAAGCCAAAAATGACGCTCACACAAGGTTACTTTCTCATATCCTCTACTATTGTGTAGAAGAGCTCGGCAGTTGTTGACAACTAACGCAAAAAAATTATGCATATGCTATTCTAATGATCATGTCAGTGTTCTCGAGTTCAATTTAGTTTAAAAATTACTTAAAAAAAGCAGCCGTAAAAACAAATATGAAGGCAAGATTTTCTTTGCTACCCAAAACCTGATAAATGGCCTGCTTCGCCAAACACATACCTCATTGTAACTCATTTGGTAGAGAATATCAACGCGAAAATCGGAAGATCTGGGGTTTGAATTCTCCTAGGAAACTCTTTTTTATTCTTATTTTTCCTTTTTTTGCTTTGTCTCAGGTTCGAGAAAAAGTTTTAATATTCTCTTTCAACAACTTTTGATAGGCAATGTACGCGACCTCACAAATCCAGTTGTGGATCGTCATGTGTCAGAATAACTGATTACCTTGTGTCCACTGTTTTTGTGGCTTTCTCGGCTGGAATACCCACATACAAAGTTAGTTTATGCAGTGGCCATTGTTCTGAGTCTGATTTGTCCGACTTGATGGCTCGTAAAATTGACTAAAGTAAAAGAAAAACCAAACAAAGTAAAACAAATAAAATCGCTTCAATTTTGGAAACAAAGCGTCAAATGCAAAAAGAACTTGTAACAAAGGGAATAGTTTGTACCCCACGTTCCTTGTTGACCGACATGTAGCCATTCTTCAGACACACGAGACTCTGTTTCCAATTCTTTTTAGGATCCCGGATGTAGAGGGAGCCTTCGATCGAGAGGGTACCGACCTGACAACAGATGAACAACAAAAAAAAACAATCAAACACAAAAATAAAACTAATATCACCGTTGAAAAAACAAACTTTTAAAAACAAGGACAGCTATATCAACAAGACATTCGAAACTTTTTCAGGGGACCTACGTCTCGGTCTGTACATCTTGAAAGAAAGATTTAACCAAAATTTAATCTTGTTATCCATCTATGTTTATCTTTGGCCTTCTTCCTTCCTCTTTGGTAGATTCGTCCCATGTTGTTTCTTTTCTTTCTGGTCAAACTACCTTTTTGTAGATTGTGTCGTGTTCAAGTAAGTTTTCATGTAATAAGAAGACTTTTAAACTCCTCCAAAAATTAAACGACTCTAAGGAGAATACCAAATGCAGCCGGATTGACTGGATCACTGTTACTACTCCTGCTTGCGAGCGTGAAACTGAAAATCATGCAGCAGTTGAGGCATTTTTCCAGGTACATCACAATTAAGCAAAATCAAGCATCGCTGAAATCAAATCAATATTGCAGCAAATCTAAAATCACATATGGACAGCGTAAAAAGACATTAATTTAATCGCTAAATACAGAAGCATTAATGATAAGGTCATCAGTTATAGCCTCAAATTTCAATCGGACTGAAGTCTCTTAAAATGTCACTTAATGAATCATGAGGACCTCCTCGAAACAGAAGTTTGTAGTAAATTATTTCGTAGAGAATAAGTAAAATATTTACATATGGAGCGATCTGTTCTGCGATGTAATTCTCTTTGACGATCAAGTAGTTCCCACTCCCCCAGTTTGCCGCGGTCATGACCTTCTCTCTGACTTGAAACGCTCGCTCTGATAGAGAACACACAAAATAAGAAATAAATACTAATTTTGAACGGGCATGTTACTTAAAAAGGTTTGAAAATGTTAGAGGAGGAGCAAATTTTCAATTGAGAATTAAAAGTAACCCAGAATTATTCTAAATTCGCTTCAGAGCCCACTTCAAGATTTCGAGAAAACTCGCTCCTCGCTCCACTCGCGTTTTGTTCTCGCGAGGTTTTCCACCTTCCACGCAGTTTTCTAGCTTCTCATTTGCTCATTTGCTTGTGATATGTTCTTTTGTTCTACATGGCCATTGTGATTACTTTGATTTGTGTTTCTAGATACAATGGAAGAGTACTATAGATGAGGTGACAGGAGACTGGATACAACACTCACCCATGGCACCATTATCGATAACCTCAAACAGCACCCAGTCGATATCGGGCGATAGTGCCTTTTGAGAAACGATCTCTGCACGAAGTCTTCCTGCTGTCATCTCAGACGAAACCTGAGAGGGAAACATTTCCAATCAGCCCAAAACCTTAATTCTCCTTACGAACCAACATAGTGTTCTTATGGAGCTACGTTGCAGTTAAAGCATCTCACGAAAGATTTAAACTTCATCATTTGCAGCTTTGCTAGTTCCTACTTTACATAAATTGTGTTTATTCATTCTAAATAACTGTCAGCTCTTAAACAAACTGATACTGTCGAGAGAAGCTAATTATTGATCAGGAAAACACCACGGGGGATGTGTTACCTTCATTAAATGTGGATTGTCATTCTTCTCTTTTACGTAAATATCCAAAGTGAATTCTCCTCCGGAATTGTTTTGTTTGTCCTGTACATTGTGAGAAAAAAAATTAGTTAAAAACATTATTCGCCGGAAAAGAAGAGAGGATTAATTTCTGTTTAAGAAATAAATCGGATTGAAACGAAAAAAAAAAACAGGAAATGGCGTAGTTTTAAAACTAAGAAACTGCAAGAAAACAATTTTTAATTGAGTGTCAAAAGTAATCCAAGATTGTATGGGTTTTGATTTCAGACGCTCTGTGATTGGTCTAGAAAAGCCACTCCAACTGCTAGATCAATATGAGAAGCAAAATTGAAAACCACGTGACTTGGTGATCCGCGTTTTCCCGCGCTCGTGGTCTTGTGATATTTTCCTTCGTTATAATTGGTCGTTTTCGTTGCTCCATCGAGGCGCGCTCTAGGACCAAAAACTAAGACCAAAAGCTAAGAAAGCTTGCTTATGTTGCAAAAGTGTTACCTTCAATTCTATCAATTCTCGTATCTTCTGAGTGGCTTCTTCGATTACCTAATTAATAAATAAGAAAACAAAATTGAAAACACTGCAAAGATACCCGAGAACACAGCGAATCTAATGACAAGGTATTGGTTAAGTAAATGCTTCGTTATAACCTGGGCTTTCTCTTCTTCTTCCTCACTCACCTTGAAAAAAAAAAAAAAAGATAGAAAATTAATCATTATTGTAACTATCCCACTGGTGGGAGCCAAAGTTCCACTTGTTTACGAAAGGGCACAGTTTCGCTGATGCGCCAAATTTTCTTAAAGTCTTCCACAAAAGTGAGGGAATGAATTCTGCGGCTTTATCTTTGAAGTAGAGTCTGCATAAAAGACTGACAAGAGTGACTTTCGGAATTGAATGCAGACTTTGCGTCTTAAACTAATGCTACCCCTCTGAGGTGGGATCCTAATCCATCGAAGGTTGACCACCTCCCTCCCCTCTCCCAGTGATTTTTCTGGTATCCCTGACACTTACCTAGAACCCATTCTTAACTCGTTTCTTATCCAATAGTAAGTGTAAGCAGGGGAATTAATTTTTTTATTAATATGAACCAGGTCTATACCAGAAGGTAACTATCTCATACTTACGTCGAAGAGCCACTTATAATACGTGATCATGTCTCCAACAATGGAGAATTCCTGATTAATTGAGGAATCGTCCATTCGCCCAGTCTAATTGAAAAAGATAAAAGATGAAGAAAATTGCAACACGGCCAATCAATCAATGTGAAAAAGGAAGCCGTAAAAAGTAAAAAAGGAAGGCTAAATAAGAAGCTTTGAGAGTTCAATAGAATTTACAAATGTAAGCAACTGTAAGAAAAAAAGCTTTTCAAGTTGTGTTCACCAACTATTCACTGATTCTTCGATGACTTTCGTTACCGAATTATGTTCCAGCAACAATATGAACGATGCTTACGCTTTCATTGGACATCAAAGTAGGACCGAAGATCATGGCAATATTGGGCACTCCCATTTTGTTGACACTAACTAGCTCGGTCACTCTAAAAAGGAAGAAAAAAATTAATAACCAATATTAGGACATGGCAAAACAAAACCTGAATAAATCTCTCGTAAATAATCCCTTGTAAAGCTGATTCGTTCTTCGCAAAAGTCACAAAAAAAATTAATTTGGACTGTCCATGGAACAGGCGATAAATACAACAACTCCCACGAGGTAATTAACAACTCCCAAGAAGTAATCAACAGAGCAGCTTATCGCCTTGAGCGTTAAGATCAGTTGACAAGTCATTGTTGTTTGATGTAGCTTTTCTGACTGAACTATGTCCCCAAACCCCAAGTAATGACACATAAAAGAAAGTGAGAGAATATGTTTTTTTTTCTAGTTTAAGAAGCTTATCCATCGCAGTTTCCCCCTCGTCTACAGTTCGTCAGGTTTCTCTGACAGTTCGCCAGCTCCCAGTTATACCCCTGGGTGGAGAGTGGAGATCAGTACGAAAACAAGACGACCCGCTGGTCGGAGTTCCAACTGGACTTCCCAATCCTAAGTTCTGCCCTAGACCCCAGGCCGCTGGGTCTCCCAAGGCCGCGCGAAAGTAAAACTAGGAAATGTTACGGTGATTCTGGTTCGATTTTGATAGAGCGCAACCTCTATTGTCCCTACACTTACTTAGTCAGATGAGAGATGATCGCCTTAAGAGTTCCATGGTTCACTTTAGGAAGCTGGTTGATTAAAGATTTAATTGTCTGTAGTCTTGTATTATGGTCTTGAATCGCTAAGGAAAGAAGTAAATAAAAGGATAAATTAGCCAAGAAATTATACATTACCATAAACAACTACATTATCATGAATTACCACGCCCCGTTGCGAGTGGTATCTAATGCACTACCTTCCGAAATAATCTCTTATTCGACAAATTGCATAGTGCTCGCGAAATACATGAACATGGCAGAGGGTAAAAAGTGCAGGGAAACCCAATGTACTTTTGACCGTGGTTTGGCAACTAATCAGTGAGAAATGGGCCATATCTTTATCTTTATTAATTGCTTTAACAACGTTGCGCGAGCAATAGAAACTAACAGAGCTATAGAATACGAAAGAACAAGAGAACTTGCCGAGGGCACTGAAGACGCGCAGGAAAAAACGTGAGAAATATCAAGCGCGGGAAAATATGCGAGCAGTGAAAGACGCAACAACCATAAAAATCGTGCAAGGTGTGGCACAACCAACACGTGATTAATACATCTGACGGGTCGTGAAAGAGTAGTGCGAGCTTTGTAGAGCCAACACGATCCAGAGAAATCTCGTTCACAATACCCACGACGCTCAACACAATCTATTTATCCCCCTCCCCCCCCAAAAAAATTGATTCTTACAGCCAGCTGCAATGAAATGCTTGTACATGGTGCCAGGGATGACTGGGTCGGGAAGTTGTCGCAAGTATTGCTTCAGTACTCCAGTGACGTCATGGACCCCGCATTCATCCAAAGTTAGCAACACGCTACCAGCGTCTAAGGAGAGATACCAATACCTCGGTATAAGAAAACACGAAAAGTCCAACATAATGAACTACAGTTCTTTTTCAAATCACAAATCACTATGGATTTTTAGACAAATTTGATACCTTGATCAAAGGAAGTTCTCAGTTTTTTCATTGTCAACTGCCCACCATTAACACGATAAACTCCTTCCATCTCGAGGCCACCTGGAATGATCGAAAATATTTCATAGAATCGGTTATGACATCGTTAATCATAACCATACCAAATTCCTCAAATTTAATTGGTGCATTAGCTGCTTTCTTAAATCACGCGCGTCTGTAGTGACACTAATCATTTGACATCAATTTTCCGCCTAAAAAAAAAAGAATTACCATAAGTTTCGACAAACTGCAAACACTTTGCCACTAAGTGTGGGATTCCATCAGAACCAAGCCCTTGCTGACAAAGCAGAACACCAAAAACCTGCGAAAATAAATAGTTTCAATTAGGTGGATGCGCTGGTCACACAATACCAATTAATAAAAGTCGAGTCATTTCTTTCAATAAAGGGAGTAAGTTTCTAAAGAAACTGTGGCTTTTATATGCAGAAAAACACGCATATAAACACACACACCCCCCAAAATTTCTCCATTCGCTCTGAAAAGGGCTCACGCTCGAAATGTCAGTTTTGAAACTCTTCACGGTGGCCAATTTACGTTATCAACCCGGTCGATAATACTAAATTACTCAGTTCTTTCAGTCCCAAACTCTTACCTGTTTGCTTCTCAGAGCTGAGTACCAGCCCTCCAATTCCTCTTCACTATCAGCCTTCAAACTATGCGTTCTATAAAAAACGAAAAATATATATGTATTTCCCGGACTCGCGACTCGTCGTTGTGTGGGCAAACTTGTATAGAACGAACTTACAATAGAAAACAATACAATACAGAAAAAATCAATGTTTAGGTCCAGTTTCACATTTTCTTAGATAATTAGTACGCTTTTGCGAGTAAAACTCTCTCAAATAAGAACCTGAAGGCAATTAACGAACACATTTAACACTTTAACCCCTAAGAGTGACTAGGATCTCCTCTGTCCTTACAATATCACCCCTGAATCACACATTAGGCTCACGAGAAAAAGGGAAATGATCACCAACTAAAGAACCTTTTGGTTGTTAAACAAATCCTTCTTGTTGGCACCTTAGGAAATGTATACAGAACAGTATAGAGAAAGTGACAACCGAAGTTAGTGCGCGTAAAGAATAATGCAAACCCTTCTTACTTGTCAACCGTAACAATATCCAGTTGTAACTGCTCTCCCTTGGGACATCTCACTAGTGACGTCACTGTTCTAAGGTCAATCGTAACAAGATCGTCCTTGTCATGTGGCTGCGAACAAGTAAGCCAGCAGTTTTAGCAAAATCGATTTATCATTCAAACAAAAGCAATTACAAAAATCGATTTTCTTTCCCTGAAGAAATGAACCAACGATAAAAAAAATTCCACTAACCCCTCTGGCATACTTTAAATGCCTGTCTTTCAACAAAAACCACCTTTTTCTCCAGCTCTACGATAAAATATGAAATCGCAGATGTCAGCAAGTTGGTAACATTAGAACATTACGGGCCTCGGTGAGGAGATTTGATATTAAACAAGCTCAGCAGGCTCAATTCAGTAGAGATAAGAGAAAAATGGACGCGGAATATGGTGTTGGTGACTAAACGCGGGAGTGCCAAGCAAAATGCAAAACAACACAACAGTTTCCTTGACACGAACTGCGGATCAACATCAGTCTCTGGGCAACTGCCCACCTACCCCTCCCCTAACCCAACATTAACCTTAACTTGTTGTCAATTGACTGTTGTTGAGTTAGGGGAGGGGTAGGTGGGCAGTTGCCCAGATACTGATATTGATCCCGAACTGCAACCTCAGTTTTCGCTTTCCATTCTTGCGCGTCCGCTTTTCACCTCGTCTCTAAAATCAGAGCGTTTAAAACTTACTCCTTCTTTCTTTTGCAAGAATCCCTCTTTTTCATAAACTATTTCGATGGGAGCACTCTGAGAAGCCTGTCAAAGAAACAATCAACATCGTTTGATTTAAAAGGACTATTGGAATTATGGGATGACGAAATGAAATTACCTATGTTTATCAGTACTTAAGGGTAAAATATGACGACAACATCGATCCAATCCAATCCAAAATTTTTGCAATGTTATAATTGAGTGTCGAAAGTAATCCATACTTGCATCAATTTATTAAAATTTTATTCCACTTTGTGTCTTGAAATCTTGTGCCACCTTCTCAACCAATAAGATGCAAAAAATAATTCTGGCGTTTTCCCGCGCTAGAATCTAGTTGATTCAAGTTTTTATTGGCTCATTCAGGTATTCCTCTTCGTTCTGATTGGCCACTGTGTGTACTTTGGGTTTGCTTTACGACAATTGATGAACAGCGCTGAATGTGTCCATCAATACCATATCGTGTATTACAGACATGACAGTCTACAATCTTACCTCAGTGTTAAGCGTCGCTGTTTGGTCATCACCTAGGTTCTGATCAGGTTTTCCTAGAGAAGAACGCAAGAGTCAGACCTCTTCCTTTGCACAACTTGCAAACGATTCCAAAATGACAAAGACAAGGAAGAAAAGGAGAAAAAAATCAAGACAACACATACCTTCTCCACCATTCTGTCGGAGCAGTTCCTAAATTAAATAATGAATGAAAAACATCAGGAGATCTTGAAAACAAGTAAACTTTAACGTCATTAAAACAAGCGGTTTTTCAGCCGGCGTTCAGCAAGTCGAGAAACAATACACAATTTACTCCTACACAAAGTACTCACTGCTTGAAGAGTTTGTCCAGCTTCTTCCGCCAGTTCGAGCGCTGTCCAATTTAAAAGGAAAAAAAAATTTCAAAATTACAATCTCAGCGTAGCAAATCATTCACCATTTACCTTAGGCCTTTCAACCGAGATACAGTCGAACCTGTATTAAGCGGCACCTTATTAAGCGGTCACTCTTTTCTAAGCAATCGGTTGTCAAAGTCGCGAACTTTTTTCCCCGTAGTTACTATAATTTTCACCTCTACTAAGCGATCACCTCTATTAGAGGGTCGTGTTTGTATTGTATTCTACCTGTATTGAACGATCACTTAAAGCGGAACCACTAAAATATTACTAAGAATAATCTCTCAAGTCGAATTTATTTCATGTTTATCTCCCGAAATAATTGTCACTACTTTGAGTTCAAATGTCTTCTTCACATTGCCGATTATCTTTCTTCATAAGACTGTTAAGAAAAACTGCGTTTTTTATTTTTTTTTTGGCTCCTGTTATGTGGAGTTGTATTTAGCGGTCAACCTGCATCAAGCATTTTCCCCGCCATTCTCCGTGGTACAGGTTCGACTGTATCTACTTTCAAAATTTTCTACTGAAATATACCCTACAGCTCATTACGTTCTCTTTAGTTGTTGGCGAAAGGGAAACCGGATTGAAAATTGAAAACTAAAAAAAAATTGTTTCTAGACTTGGTTTGAAAGCAGGGAACTTATATGAAAGATTTTCACAACTTACGCGTTTTTTCGTCCTCAGCATCTGAGGCAACGTAACGAACCTGGCAAAGAAAAGAGAAAAAAATTAAAAGAGATTAAAAGTGGACATTTTTGAAAGCATCCATTATGAAAACTGAGAAAATAATATATATCTTCAGAGTAAAAATAACTCGATTTTATCGCCACACCCCTACTAGTTCTGTTGCATGTCTCACCGATAATTTTCTTGTATAATGCTCGCAAAATTGTTTCGCCACAGGTAAGAAAAACTTTTAGCCGCGCTTATTTACGGAGGAGTAAATTAATTAAATTATACAGCAATAAATGATTATAGCGTTTCATCTTTCGATGTGGAAAATTAAATTTTCGAAAGGATAACTTCCGAGGATAAAAATGTATTCCACCCATAAATAAAGTCAAGGCTAATAAGTCTAGGATCATCGACTTACATCCACTTTGTTTAAAATTAGTTCCATGGTGGATAAAATGTCCTTTGTGACCACAGTATTCCGCAAGACCTACACCAAAACAAAGCGAAATTCGAAAATGACCATTGGTAATGTGCATAACAAACTGCGTCCGGTTCAAACAAAACAAGATGCAATTAATGCGGTTTCAAAATCTATTTGACACGTGTAAGGTGAGAAACTACAAACGAGGCGGTAGACCGGTCGGTAAAATTAAAATTAATGTATTAACTCAAAGTTCTTTTAACGATTTTACAAAACAAGATATAACAAATTTAGAGTCAAGGTCTCCTTCGGGCAGCTGACGACATTTTTAGCGGGAGACTGATAAGGATCACACCGCAAGTCACAGAATCAGCTGTTAAAACCTGCCTGGCAGCCACAGATTTGGTGCAAAGTATGCATTAGTAGTGCGACACTTTTGGCGGGAGTCTGATACGGATCACACCTCAAGCCACAGAATCAGCTGTAACACTGCCTGCTAGCCACAGAACTGGCGGGAAACACGCACGTGTCACACAACTGCCCTCTACAGTGACTATTCGCTGTCTAAAACTGCCTTCCCGCCAAAGACTCGCCGAGAACCTATTCACATGACCGCTTAGCGACAGTTTAGGTGTTTCAAAAATTGCTTTCTTACCAAAGTTTTGGCGGACACTTCACACGCATTAAGGAAGTAAACGGAGACGAAATTTCCCCCGCCTAACTTGTCTTGAAATATTACAAAATGTACCTTTCCTAGCGCCTCAGGATCTCCAAAAGCTTGATGGTATTTGGCGTATTTCTTTTCCCAGTATTTGGAATAGATGAACTCTCGTCTCGCCGCACTAAAATAAATTTTAAAATTGGTATGTTTTTTTGCAATACTTAACGGTATTGCTCAGTTGGCTCGCTGTTACCGGGATTGAGGCTTTGAATTAAGTTTTCATTATTTGTTTTCCATGCCTATTTTCTTGTTTTAGCTTGTGCATATTTTTTGTTTAAATCTCGTAAATGGCTGGACGAAATTTCCCTCTTCCCATGTCAACGAACTGAAACATATGATAACATGCTGGGAACGCATAAATCATACTTCTAAATTAACTAAACTAGTAGATAACAGTACAGACAGAAGATTGCTAATCTAACAATTAAATACATTTGGAGACATGTTTATTGCAAACGGTGACGAGAAATATTTATGCTTGATTTCCCTCACATGGTTCGAACAGAGATACAACAAAAAAGAACCTATCAAATACATAAATGATTAGTTCACGTCAATGCAAAAATGGGGAAATGAACGACAGCGAAAATCAAAGTTTCACTCTGGTTGTAAGAAGTTACGGCTCCCGAATATACGAAGCTGCATTACTTCATGGACAAAATTTAGTAATAAGACGCAATCCCGATCTGTGTCGACACCACATAAACATCCGATAAAGGGAAGGTTGGTTACACGATTTCAAGGGGCGCTTACGGGCTCTGGGCATCACTCTCCGCTACCCACCCATGCATGCTGTATTCCTGGCTCTTAACCCTTTAACTCCCATGAGTGACCGAGAGAGAATTTCTCCTTACAATATCAACACAATGTCAAGCAGACAAGAGATGAGAATAAAGAAAAATATCAATTAGGGGATAAGTTGATCTAATACCAAATTCTCCGAACTTACAACACAAGAACTGTATGGCAGACAGTAAGGAGAATTCAAAAGGTTTTTTTAAGGGTTACTTACACATTGGCATCTGGTGTTATTTTGTCGTCTTCGGGTAACTTGTGTTCAAGAAGTTGATTGGCGTTGTCATTTCCAATTTTTATCATCAGCTGTGTTGAGATAAAAGTTGAAACAGTGCAAGATTATGAGTAGAATTGTCAAATGAAAAAAGTCATTGACTGGTAGTGATGGTACATATCATCACTCGGCGAGAGACAAACTCGTGCGAGTGTACAGAGAGAAGGCAGAATCAAAGGTGTTTCGTCGCACTGTATTTGAAAATTGTTTGGTTGAAATTTTTCTATAAATTGAAAAAATTTCCAAACCCTATTGAGATAAACATTCGCCCCTGATCTTGTGAGTACATGCCGATCAAATTGAGCATTGAACTTCTAACGTCAAAATATCAATATGAGTAAGACAACGAGTGGAGGAAATGAACTTTCTGTTCAACCTGTTTTCAAATCCCCTCCGCTAGATTCTCGCAGGATTTTGGCAAATACGAGAATATTCTGCCATTCACTTATGTAAATCCATGACAAGGCGTATACAAAACAGGCATACAATTTAACGACCTCAGTACAATACTATTCGTTCAACGATTCTTTAGGGCACCGTGACCATATATGTAAGTCTGATCCTATAATCAAAATGCTTCAAATGAGAAAAGCTCCTTGCGGAAATAGACTTACCTCTATAAGAGCTGGGTTCCAGATCTTCTCGTCCATGAGAAGAGAACGTGCACGAGAACAGTGAACCCCCAGGTTCCGATGAACACCTTTTAAAATAAAAGTAATGCGTAACATGAAAATTTATCCAATATTTTCTCTCATGCGCGATTGGTCCGAACGCGTCACGTCAAGGAATATCCTTTAACTAAAACTTTGGAGTACTAGCGAGTAATCCTTAAATGATATGCCCTATTTTGAAGCTTTAAGTACGGTGTGATCAAAGTCGTGGAAATAATTACATAGACGAAAGCTTTCTGCTCTTGTTTCAGAAAAAGACACTAACGCGCTTGCTCATGAACCTCGCCGTAGATCACAGGAAAGTCAACATTCCATGAAGAAAGAAAATGTTGTCGATCAGAAACGTCCCGCGCGGTGCAGAAAATATTGAGATGGATATATACACAATAGTCTCCAGTTGGCTCAAAATTATGCTTGTATATTTGTCCTGGGCCATAACATGTTCCTTAACGAACCTCTCTGAACAGATCATATCAGTGGACAAATATCTGAGGTTATTCTCCCGCTAAATGAAAGCTATTGTTTCATTTTTTTTTCTTCTCACAGTTCTGTAGCACCACAATGAGGTGTAACCCAACAGCACTTTCCTGTAAAACTTGTGCAGCTTGTAATATACCCTTAGGCTGTGAAATGAACTTACCAATACATTTTGCACAAACACAAACACAGAAGTTGACTGATGCCCACACTGGATCTGAAATTAAAAAAAAGTCATAATAGATAAAGTGTGCTCTAATGAAGTGAAGCATCGATTAATTCTTCAGCCAGTGTAGCAGTGAGGTGCTTGCAAGAGTCGAACCGCTGACCTCCCTTATAGTGCTTCGGATGCTTCGACGCCGAGTTATATAACAGCTGATTAAAGTTAAACGCATTTCAACAAAACAGGCCACCAAAAGGTAACTGATCATTGAATTAAATACAAAATTTAACCTTTCATTCCACAGTCTGCACAAAATCGGTTACTGGGATTCTCCCAAACTTTTTCACGAATCTACAGTAGGAAATACAAAAAGACACGAGGGGGCAGTAACACACCCACAATAGTAATTAATTAAAAAATCCTTGTTGGCATCGTCAGACCACACTAGATTTTTTTTTGAGCATGCGGGGAAGCAGGTTGCAGGCGCTAGATTGCAACTGATTGTTCTGCTTTCCTCTTTTTTTAGTGGAAGAAGGACCCCAATCAAAAGAAACTCTCAATTCAGTTACTTTGATGTAAAGAGAAAAAATTTTCCCATTTATCGCTTCATCTATCGCTCACATAGAGTGCCCCCTCCAGCTATGACTGGCTGCACCTCCAACTTCGTCTGTCTCTGACGTGTGTTCTCAGAATAACTCGATAGTGGTGTAGCACTTCTACCTGGGAGTTCCGTCCGGTGAAAGGTACGTTTGAGCACCCGGTCAACATGGCTAGAGTTTTGAGGCTTATTGGAGGACCCAAGATCCTAGTTTACTGCCAAAAGTTCTTTAAGAGAAAGTTCTCTCACCGTTGTATCACCAAGTCCGATCTGAATGGCTGTTTCTATGGCAACAATCCACGAGGAAGCATCAAATTCACTATCTCCTTGGAAACTATGAACAATCAAAATTCGTGGCCATCAATTAGTCATTTCCAATTCTCCAAGTCCTACCTTAATTCGTATTAATATTATTAATTCCATATTATTTTAAGGCCTTAATACAGTATCCTCACTCTGTTTTCATTTGGCTTTAAAACACTCAAACAAATTACATTTGAGAATCATACTAGCCTCCTCATGAACATTTCAGTCACAATCTACAAGACCTTCTCAGCAAACATTTTTACACCAAAAGTGACCAGCAAATGGTTGACTGAAGGTAACTTAAACAAGTGTAAAGAAAAATCCACGACAATAAATAAAACTTACCTATAAGACTTGTGGAACGTAATTATTACAAATCTGTTCTTATGTCCGTCAACAGTTTTCACTTTGGCCAAAGCAGCGTTGATGCAATTTATTGGTGTTGCATAAATAAAGTCCTAAATTAAAAGAACATACATAACCATGTGCTTTTCTACAGTGGGTCACAGCAACAATGGGAAAATGAGAATAATAATGTGCCCTGAAACACTCCAAAACACTTCAAGTAAAATCCCCAAATAAATCTGTAGAAACAATAAAACCTAAATATTGTAATATTTTGAGGTTCTAGTAAACCCCTGGAAGTGATCAATATGTAACTTCTCCCTATAACATCCATACATTATCAAGCAAACTGGTGATCAGAATACACAAATTATCAGGTAGAAGTTGTTATCTTGATCTACCACCAAATTCTCATAAATTATTTACAGGGAAATGTGTAGCAATTAAAAGGGAGAACATCAAGGGGGTCAATCAATTGTTGTCTGCACTGAAAACAATTCTTATGGTAACAACTTTTTATCAGTTAACCCTTTAACTCCCATGAGTGACCAAGACAGACTTTCTCCTTACAATATCAACACAATATCAACCAGATAAGTTATGAGAATAAAGAAAAATATCAATTTGAGGATAATTACTTGATCCAATACTTAAATCTCCAAACTAGCATCATAAGAATTGTATGGTTGACAGTAAGGAGAATGAAGCATTTGATCTGGGAGTTAAAGGGTTAACATGTACAAATCAAGACTAGAATTTTTGTTTAAAATTGTCTCCCAACAAACCATTCCTGTCAAAGAGAACCATAACTACCAAAGATGAACTAACTACTAAAAATCAACCCTCGAAAAATAAAAAAATAAAAAATGAAAATGAAATACACCTCATAAGTGTCATAGTAACAGATCTTGTCCCCCTTGATAGCTACATATCTGCAAGGAACACAAAAATTTAGAATTGGATGTCACTGTTTGAAGGTTGAATTAACTTACTGCTTAAAGAAACATTTCAATATTCATATTACCTTTTCTTCCAGTCTGCCACAACATTGTGTCCCTGTTTCTTCAGCCATCCCTGAGAACAGAAAAATATGAACATCATTCACTGGCTGCTATTCTAAATTTGGTGGGAAAAAGAATTTTGGGGAGATTTAAACATTCCACCCTCAAATTATGATTTGCCCTTGTGGACATCAAGGCACAAAAAGTTGGAAAAACATGCTACGTAATGTACTGTGATTTTTCTTACTTTCTATTTTCAGTTAACTAAGCATACATTGAGTGCTACAATGTTTCACAGATGGGAGCCTTTTTGCAGATGGCTAATTTGAGTGCTTTACAGAGAGACAATGCGAATAAACCCATCAGTTGCCTGTAAAGGCTTTCTTTCTTTTGATAAAATAAATATTTTGAACCAATTTTTTTGTTTTTTCAGATAAAGCTTTTACTACAGATCAAGGACACTAAAAGCTCATCTTTTCTACCTCCTTGTCTGGGTCACTCATCTCTCCACCACTCTTCCAATTCTTGCCATCTCCCTGCAAAACATAAGAGAAGAAATAAAACCATGAAAAATTAATCCTGTACTTCCTGTGATATAGTAATCTTTATAGCAAGCAGCCGCAGAAAGTTATTTTCCACCACTTCATTGTTTATTGGTGACCAATATGGCTGCCATGACATCATAAGAGAATTATCAGATCAATATCAGTATCTGGGCAACTGCCCACCTACCCCTCCCCAAACTCAACAACAGTCAATTGATAACAAGTTAGGGTTAATGTTGGGTTAGGGGAGGGGTAGGTGAGCAGTTGCCCAGATACTGATATTGACCTGAATTATCTTTACTTAAGGTAAACAATTAGCTCCAGCCTTCTTTCCGGGTTTTTCTTTTCTAGAATTAATCAGCAGTTCTTTACTGCTCTTGTTAATCTCGTATTTCCTTTGTCCTCCAGGAATTTCAGACTCAGACTCAGTACTTAACTCTGTAATTTTCATCCTTTTGAAAATCAAGAAAAAATCTGTCTTACATTTTCAGCTGTTTATCGGCATCAATTTAATTTTCCACTCTTAGTTCACCCTCACCTTGCAGCCAATGATTGCCTCCATAAGAGTTTGAGACCAGAGATTCATTTCCGCTAGAGAAACAAGCAAAAACATTACAAGAATGAATACCAATAATCACCCACTTAAAGTATTTTATACATGGCATCAAAAAGTTTATTTAAAAAAAATCAATATTTAAGTGAAAATTTATTTTTTTCTAAGATCATTTAATTATTATAAGAAATTGAGGTGAAAAAAAAGGAACTACAGAAGTAACTTACTGATGTTTTCTGATGCAAAAATGAAAGTCCTGTTTGGAGTTATCACTTTGAATGTTGAACGTTTTTCCTAAAAATATGAAAGTTAGAATGAGTGATTGTTTTTACTAAAAACAGTGTATTTGTTACAAATAGAATGCATTTGAATATTTAGGCTCAGCATAGCTATTTCATGGCCACAAAGTGAGAAAACAAAAGAAACATGTGTTTCTGTCATAGTCATTGTGCTTGTTAAACTTTCAGAACCAAGAGCTATTCAACCAATTGCAATGTCACCTTTATGATTACAGTATGTTCACTTCTAATGGTGAATGAAATTGACTAGTCATAATATCAGAAACAAACAATGATTTCAACTTAATCCAAATTGTGCCAATCATCACCACAGACCACAGTAAGCAGAGATGTTGAAGAATTCAAAAAAAGTCATTGCTTGTTTCCAGTAATCAGATTGGTCAGTTTTGTGTTAGTAACACTGGCTTGTAACAACAGTTGTATGGCAAAATACTTACATCTTTCACATTTTCAATATCCTTTATCTGGTTTACAGGAATTATATGAAGAGATTCAGTCAGGGAATCCTGAAATGTAACAAACACTGAAGCTATTCCAAGTAGTTCCAACAAAAAAATCACCTAGTTCGCAAAACAGGACACTTGCAAGTCATTTACAAGTAGTTCCATCAAAAAGATACCTGGTTGGCAAAACAGGACACTTGCTAGTCATTTCACAAATAAAGTTAGTCTGGGTAGTTCCACCAAAAAAAACCTAATTGGCATAACAGGACACTTGCAAGTCATTTCATAAATAAATGCTAGCAAGAGAGAATTGGTAGAAGTCTACCAGCATTTTATCACAAATAAAGCAATATGACTGGCTAGATGGGTACCAGAAAACTGATAGGGAAACCTTGAGAATTACAAAATGAATGGGGTAATCTGCAATGGAATAAGATCCTATCTAGGGGGGGGCAACCAATACTTGTAAGTTGCTTCATGCTACAGAGACTTTCAAAACGAAACAGCCTCATCTTTTAGGACAATTTTTTGGTGAACAAAACTTACCTTATCCTTGTAGTATCTTAGGTCCTTGCCATCAAAAACAAACCACCGTTTTCTCCATCCCTTATTGTTCTTTTGCCTAAAATAGGAGAGAAATTCTGATTGAGAGTACTGAACTCTGCATGACTTTACAAGTAACTTCTGTGGTAAATTTTTGTTGTGTATCTGATTTTGCAACTTTCATATCTAGTTATTAATAAGCAATTATTGGATGAGGCTGAGCATGACATCATGAATTATCAAAGTGCAGGTCTGAGTTATCTGCCAAAGCACAAACACAAGGCTTGATTACATTCAATAATTGTTTTATTAAATATCTTTCAGACAATCTGCAAAAGAAGATGCTTCTCTATGAGTATGCAAAAGTTTGTGAACGCTACACAGATAAGGGGCTTGGAAACTTGGCAGACTTTGAATTTGACATGATAACCTAATATCTGCTGCAGATATTGGGTTATCATGTCAACTTCACCTGCCACTGTTTATTGACTGTATGCTTTTGACCATCACAGTTTCCATAGTAATTCTAATGTACAATAAAATAATATATCATATTAGATGTTCGGGTGTATTGTATTGCTGAGTATTTTTATGAGTAGTTTGTATTGCAACTTGCCCTATAGGCTCATCAAAATACAGCATATCTCATAAAAATACTCAGCAATACTTTCTATAATTACCCTCCTTGCTTCCAAAGGTATCCTTCACTTTTACGAACCTACAAGAAGCAAGAACAAGGAATGTTTACTGATGAGATGTTGAGTTTTACCAAAATCCCTTAGCTTCTCAAAAATTTCACCCTTGACTGTAAATATCCCTTAAAACCCCAGAAGTGATTACCATGCATACCATTATTTATTATCAGTCAGAAGATGTCATCATGATCTGTGACACCAAATTCTCATCACTTATTCAAAAGGAAATGTGTAGCAGCTGAAGGGGATAAGTAACAATCAAATCTTCAAAGTTGAATGGTTAAACTTCCATTTCAGCTTTACTGTAAAAAAAAGTACCCCATCATCAAATCAGATGAAAGTCTGTGAGTATAGTGGTCCATTGTTTTACCAAATACATATGATGAAAATCAAGAACTACAAATGAATGAAAAATGTCTCTTCTAGACCAGGACACTTACCCTTGGGCTTAGGCTGTTTGGTATTGCCTTACTGTAGTCCACATTCTCTGTGCTGTCACCTCTCTAAAATATTGAGAACTAATACTAGTTGGAGACTTCAATAAGACTGGCATCAAAGCCTTCAGTTTAAGAACAAAACATAGATGTAGTTGAGAGTCATTTACTGTCATGTAGTTCAGAGTCATTTACTGTCATGTAGTTCAGAGTCATTTACTGTCATGTAGTTCAGAGTCATTTACTGTCATGTAGTTCAGGTCATTAACTGTCATGTAGTTCAGAGTCATTAACTGTCATGTAGTTCAGAGTCATTTACTGTCATGTAGTTCAGAGTCATTTATTGTCGTGTAGTTCAGAGTCATTTATTGTTGTGTAGTTCAGAGTCATTTACTGTCATGTAGTTCAGAGTCATTTACTGTCACAAACCACAAGTTAGACTGCCCAGCCAGGTTGGTCAGTTCACTTATGGTGCACCTTTAACCCTTTGACCTCTAAGAGTGACTAGCATCTAATTTCTCCTTACAGAAAGTCTCCTAAATCAAACATTAAGGTCTTGAGAATTAAGGAAATGATCGCTGAACAAAAAAGCTCTTGATTGTTGAACAAATTATCATTGTCAGTATGATAGGAAATGGAGAACATGCACACTGATATTAGGGTGAAAAGAGTCACAGGAAATGCACACTTTAACTATGAACAGGTTAATGAAGCTATTGACTTCAGACTAAGAATAGACACCCCAACTATTTTAATGAGAGGAGTTCATAGTCTGTTCTACTTAACCCTTTAACTCCTGTGAGTGACCAAGACAGAATTTCTCCTTACTATATCTATACAATACTATGCAGACAAGTGATGAGAATAAAGAAAAATATCAATTATAGGATAACTAATTGATCCAATACCAAATTCTCCAAACTAACATGATGAGAATTGTTTGGGAGACAGCAAGGAGAATTGCTAATGAGATCTTGGTAGTTAAGGGTTAAAGTAAAAGGGATCAAATTGAAAATGAATTCTGTGCTCTAAAGTACCTTCTTGGTGCCTGGAGGCCCTGAAAAAATCTGTGAAAAAACACAGCCCTAAAAATCTTTTTTAAAAGTCAGCTTAAGACAAAGGTTAGTCCCAGGCTATGATAAAGCACAGCCCCAATGTAAGAGAGATTTCATGTTTTGACTTGCCTTTTTCATTTCTGGCAAATCTGCACACCATGGATCCAGAGAATCATCACTTTCATATTCAATTTCAGCTGTATCATTATTTCTCTGATACTCTCTTGGATCTCCTTTCCAAACTTCTTCATATAGTGAAGACTCCACTTGTGATGTCTTCTGTGGTGATGGTTGAACCATTGAATATTCATATGTTGACTCTGGTTGAGATTTCACTGGTGATGTCTTCTGTGGTAACAGTTGAACCTCTGAATATTCATATGTTGACTCTGGTTGAGATTTCACTGTTGATGTCTTCTGTGGTAATGGTTGAACCAGTGAATATTCATCTGTTGACTCTGGTTGAGATTTCACTTGTGATGTCTTCCATGGTAATGGTTGAACCAGTGAATATTCATCTGTTGACTCTGGTTGAGACTTCACTTGTGATGTCTTCCGTGGTAATGGTTGAACCAGTGAATATTCATCTGTTGACTCTGATTGAGCTTTCACTGGCTCTGATGCTCCTGTTAAAATGTATCAAAGCAATAAATTTAAAGATTATCCTGACTCTTTCCAAAAAACAGGTGACTCTTCATGGATAAAAATTTTATCCAACCCTAACCCAATCCCTAAGTAAGATTAAAATCAGCTATACCTACTAACTTCCTATAATATAATTAACCCTTTAACTCCCAGACCAAATTTGTAATTCTCCTTACTGTCAACCATACAATTCTTATAATGTTAGTTCAGAGGATTCAGTATTGGATCAACTAATTATCCCCAATTTGATAGTTTTCTTTATTCTCATCACTTACATGGTTGATATTGTATTAATAATGTAGGGAGAAATTCTGTCTTGGTCACTCAAGGGAGTTAAAGGGTTAAATTATATGCAATATTCTGTGAAACCTGAAAACAATAATTTCTCTTCCTCTGATTTCTCTCTTAACCCTTTGAAATGTCACCAGCATCTAATTTCTCCTTACAGTAAGACTGCTGAATCATTCTTTGAGATCACGAGAACAAAATAAATGATCACCAACCTAAGAAGTTTTGATTGTTAATTCAATTCTCCTTGTCAGTACCAAAGGAAATGTTTCAAAGAGTATGGAGAATATGGATACTGAAATTAACCCTTTAATCCCTAAGAGTGATTAGTAACTATTTTCTCCTGTCAGTATCACTCCTAAAACTAACATTAAGGTCATGAAAATAAAGGAAATGATCACCAACTAAGGAAGCTCTTGATTGTTAAACAAATTCTCTTTGTCAGCACTATAGGAAATGTATAGAGAACAGTGTGGAGATAATGCATACTGATGTTAGGGTGTAAAGGGATGTAACAAACTAATTACATTAACAGACATAATTTGTCTGTGGCTGAGGTAAATAATATAGACCAAATAGAAAATAGATTCTGTTGTTGTTGTTATCCTACAAAATGAGCGATGGCAATGGAAGAACATTTCAACTAAGGAGAGTTCTCTTGCCAAAACACCAAATTATGAAGCAACACATTTCTTAAGATAGGTAAAGAACTTAAAAGGAGAAGGGATCTGCTTCATACAAAGATCCATGTGTGTGATAGCTCAGTTGAGTTCAGTTCTCAAAAAATTACCAAAGAAGCAAGCTAACCTTGGTGAGGAGCACTGATCAGTTTATTTTGCCAATGGTTCGTACTTCCTGTGACAGGAACAGGTGGTAGTGGTAGATCACATATCTGCCTTTTAGGGAGATCTTTCAGTGAACCTGTTTGACGTGTGGGAGGGGGTGGAGGGGCAGGCCTTTGTTTAGCTGATGCAGATCTTGGTAGCGTTGATGGTTTTCCCACAGAGGAATTTGCAAGATCACTTCCTCTTCCAGATAGAGATAATGATTGTGTTCTCTTTTCCGAAGCATCATTTAACACTGCCGAACACACATTCTTGCTGCCTCCTTCTGATTCACCATCTGTAACTAGATCTGACACTAATACATTGTCTTCTGATTGTCTTCTTTTTCGTGTTCGTGGTACAGGTGTTGGTCTTTTTGCTGATAGCCTCTCGGGTGCTTTTGGCACTACCCGTGGCTCAGTTGTTGCTGCAGCTGTTTCTTCATTACTCTGCAGAGTGGAGCTTGCTTCATCACTCCCATTGTCTGTGTTAGGCAATACAGGACAGCTTGAAGTTGAATTCATTTGCACCTGAGGTTCTTTCTCATCAGAGGAACTAATATTTGCAACACTATCAGCATTAGAATTACAAGAAATCATATCTTGTTCTTGCATACCATTCTGTACACTACCCTGTGGGGTCCTAATCACTCTCCTGGGAGGTTTTAAGGGGGCCCTTTTTGCTGGAACATCAGGTTGTTTTGATTGAACTTGGAGTTGATCCACTTCCACATGCTTAGCATCTTGTAGAGGAGTATCTGAAACTTTTGAAGTCTCTTTAGAGGGTATCTCTCTTTCTTCTAAATCTGCTCTTGGCGGAATAGGAGGAGGAGCTTTCAAAGAGCTGGATTTTTTCTTCGGTGGAAGTAAAGGAACGTCAGGAACTTTAGTATCAAGGCCTTCACCTGTGGTAATTTCACAACTGTCTTCCTTCGGAAGCTGATCATTACAAGCACTTACACTTTCGTCTTCGCTAACAAAATTTATGAGCGAGTCCTGCTGCTCAGTTCCCGTTTCAGACCTGTCTGTTGTTACGTCCGTGTTCGGGCTGACACTGCCATCTTCCTCGTTCGTGAAATCCATACCAAGTTTTTCCCTGAGTTTCTCCGTAAACATAAGAAATCTTTTTCGATGATATGGCATGACGATTCCCATCTTATCAAGGGCATCTTCATTTATTGAGCAACAGGTCTCCAGTGATGTAAAGCCGTTTGACTCAAGTTTCTCAGCATACCTATCGAGTTTGACTTCGGCCAACAACCATTCTCTGACCGCGTCAAAGTCTTCCTTTGCGGTAGCCATGAGAAATCAAACGCTCACACTCTTGCAAGGATCCATGTGGCTATAGATCAAAGACTAATAAATGATTCATCAGTAGGACTTTAAGTATGCACATTACCACCTTAAGATCGTTCAAAGCCTAGACTTAATTTACAAACGAGACTATGTTTTTGATATAAGACTTAAGCTTCCGGGACCTGTGGAATGCGCACAATCGGAATAAGGTGTTTTGCTGACCACTGTTCAGCAGTCACGGGACTAAGGCATACCTCGAGGGATAGTTACCCCGGAAGAGTGATCCTTTTAAGAGATTTTTACGAATTGATTTTAAGAAAACAGTGTCAAGATTATGAATTTGGGTATCTGAGTGGATTTAGAAGCGAGTGTAGCCAGACGGGGTAGAGCATCCCAGAACAAAAAATATTTTATGCACCCCTGCGTGTTCCCCCCCACCCCACCCTATCTAAACAAAATGCCAAATATAACGCGCTATTGATCCGTTTCGATCCAGAAGTCAAAAGACTATCACTTTGGTTGATTTGCAAGGTGGAAGTGAGTATTTCAACGAAGAAATGTACGAATTTCGCAAATTTTCACTAATGGTATCTGTGGTTGTGAAAGTACCATAACAGCTTGGGCACGGGTGTTCATTTTTGCTTTAAGACGAGGTACGTGGTTTTCTCTGAAATGTTTGCAATTTCTCTCACGATTCTTAGGTGAATTTTACATAAATTTTTTAATGGTAATTGATCTTTAAAATGTAAGAAGACTCTAACATGAATGCAAACAAACACTAAACGCTTAGGTGAGTACAAAAGCCTTCAACAGAAAAATTCCGAAAAAAGCAGCTCTCCCCAGCCACTCTCCTCACAAGGCCATCTAGCATTCCATACTGCATCTCATTGCGCAAAGGTTTGGAATTTCACACCCTTAAGTTAAAAAAAGCCCGAAAATGCAAGAGGAAAAAACAAAGTAAAAATAATGATATGACACCTGATAAGCAAAAATCTGGAAAAGGCCCAGATGACGTCATTGTGGCAGCGGGACAAGTTGACGCAGTATGAACGACTTCTACTTTCGTCGAGTTCGAAGCACGTTTTCGTTGCTAATATCAGCCTTTGTCACTTTCTAACTCCATAGTTAACAATTTTAGGGCAGCTTAAATTTGCATGACAACAGTGCAGTTTGTGTGATAGCTTCTACACCTCACGGAGGTTAAAATATTCTCAAATTTTTTTTCTCCCATCAGTTTTCCTTCTCTATTCATAGTTCTCAGTCATTTTAGCCTTCCTATCCTGGAAAGTGAAGAGGAATATCCGTTGACAATACTTTGGCGAACGCAAGAACAGTAAAGAAATTTCCGTACTGGATGGCCGTGTATTGGCGCAGGTAAGGACAAACTAGGAATAAGGAAATATTAGGATCATAACCTTGTCTAATCTGAGTGCGATGTTGCAGCTTTTTGATCAAGGAAAGCAAGCAGGATTTTTCAGCGAGGCGAGAAAAAGAGTCTTAGATAACTTCTTTCAGACTGATCATGGCCATGCCAGACTGTTTTATCGTAACTTATTGTCGGCTTTATCATCATTTTTTTTTCAGATTGAGGGGGTCGTACGTACCCTAAAGCATCTACGCATAGGTTTCGCCATTTTAAGGGTTTGATCTAATTCCAATCTCTCTCAATTTTCCGCCTGGGCTATTACTTCGATATAACTATAAGGATCCATCGAGATTATTGAAAATTTGCCAATTAAAGAATTTCTAAATAGCTCAAGAACATCGCTGAACCCGAATTCGCAGAGAAAAAGTTACGTGTGAGCAGACATAGCACGAGTAATACTTTTCTGTTTTTGAACGACATTCCCAGGATTTTTTTTGTTTACTCCACCGAAAAGTAATAATTCTACAACCGATAATAGAAAGAAAATTTTTTTTGATTTACAAGGAATCTGAAGGTTGGTTTCAGTCTCAGTTACGACTTATGTCATTAACAGATATCAAGTCTTGCTTTAACAACGGGAAGTCTTATAAAGTGGCCACGAAAATATATCACTTTTAATTTCATTGCTTTCACTCATTTTTCATTTCGTTCTTTTTGTTTTTGCTTACGATACTACCATGCCGGCTGAAAGTATGAAAACCAATGGTTTGTTTCGAAGCTTGTCTCCACACTTAAAAACAGTTTTATAATTAGACAAAGTTTGAACTTTAAAAGATCAAAGTACGACCATTAAAGTTTCCATTTAGATAAAACATGGGTTTGCCGTTGAAAGATAGGGAAGGTTTCTTTAAACTTCTATTTTCTTTCTTTATTTCTCTTAAGAGCACGATATTCTTCCAAGAGTTCAAGATTTTCCTATAGACAGTACATTATTATTGTGGCTCAAAATTCAGTTTAAAAAAAAAGCATTCACTGAAACATTTGCCCATTCATTAGACTTTTCGGAGCCGCTTACGTAATCTTGGGAAAAGACAAAACAAAAGACCTCATTCCTTAAACTTCGTGGATAGTTTGTCTAAATAAAGCGCAAAACCTTTTTCAGCTGTTCCATTCTTTTGTCTTTTTCTTATAACACATGTGCTACTCTAAGGCAAAGATGACAAGGCAGTATTTGGAAGCCGACGTTATGCATCATGTGACATAAGCTGAAACCCGCCTGTTGACTGGCACTGAGTACCTTTTGTCAGGAGAGATTAAAGGGCCTCAGCTACCCAAAATAGGCCTTTTCTTACGATAATATAGTCTTTAAAAAGAATTTTATATTTGGAAATATCTAAACAGTGGAAATATCTTCATACAGAGTTGTAAACAAACAAGAATAATTACTTAGAATAATCTCGATCAACTGACCCCTGTCGAATCGCTTCACACTTCTGACGTCAACAGTATTTCCCAGACTCCCTTTCCGCACGAGTATATTTTTTTTTCGTGCTTTAGTGCCCACTAACAGAATAGTGAGTTGTCGAGTCTGTAAGCGATGTAAATCACAACGAAAGTCCCTATTTTGTTTTCCTTTTCTTGGGAAAGTCACAGAGATCAGTTCCTTGGGATTTTCGCCCCATTCAGGTTCAGCTTTGGTGAATAATACCGCCACTCGTTGCCCAGGATGGGTGACAGTGTTACTGCACGACATAGAGCAATACCGGATGATAAAGTAAGTGTTTTTCGAATTTTTCGTCCCTGATCGTGGTTTAACTTACTTAGATGTAATTATTCGTCCATTTTTTTTAGTTGAAAAGATCATATTTGGCTTATATGGGTAAATCTAGCAACTTTCCTGAACTGTAATCTTGCTGAAGGATCATTAGCGCAGGCACAATAAACCCCGAGTGTTTACTTCAAGAAGATCGATCAATAGAATTATTTATTGAAATCCTGGGTTAGGAACGACTTTTATCGAGACTGTCTCGACCACAAAATGAGACCTTTATTACAAAAGTTTGTCTCCAAGTAAGCGACACAGTTTTCATCTCCCACACATAATACACACACGTGTAAACGATGACTTCAGTATAATGAAAATGTTGGCAATTTTTGATACAAAAGTATTTTGAGATTCTATAGGAGTTGTCACTACGCAAAGATTGTCTCTTTAACAATTCACTGACAAAGAAAAATCGGTTAGTTGGTGACCTTCAATCTCAATTTGTTTAGGGGAGTTCTTTAAAGCAATTTTATGGGACACAGTCCCTGGTGTTTGTCAAATTGTTCAGTCATATAGATGAGCTTATGATTCGTGGCAAATTGCTTCATTTGTTCGACTACGTTCACAAGGACAAATAATAACTATATGTTAAAGAAACTGGAATTTTTCGTACGTGTTCATGATCATGTTCGAGACAGGAAAATCTTAGCGACCCTGTTAAGTGCGCGCCTATTCTTCCGTCGAAATAAAAGACAGAGACAAATGTCAAAACAGAGTTTGACTATTAGTATTTTGTGGTGCGTGTTTTTATATTTTTGACAGCTCTCAGATCAAAATTACACGATATGTAGTAGCTAGATGTCGCCCTTTTTATTAAATTTGAATATACACCATTTCTGTTCTAATGACAATGAAATATAGCATCAACGACTGCATAATTTTAGGCATGAAGGTCGAGAAGTCTTCAATTGGATTGAAAACTTATGTAATGTTTGCCATTAGTATTCGATCAGTTTATCCTTGTGATGCTCGTGTTGAAGCCTTAAAAAGGAAGTATTCTATGATTGGGAGCTAAATTCTAGATCTTTTATATATTGTTTACAAACAAAATTATAAGCAATAAAGTAGGTTATACCTCAAATGCTCGCTGTTTTCTGATGGTTTCTAATTTTTATCAAAACCAACGAGTATATCTTCTATAATTTTTCTTGCTTCCGTTTCTTAGGTTTTTTATATTTCCATGTCACAAATTTAGAAGCAAATTCACCTAACAAGTCTGATTTTTTAAAATTATAAAGACCATCTGAATTTTAAATTAATTCATTTACCCCCTAAGCAATTATTTTTTGTAGTTAAATTTGTGTATTGTTTTGGTAATGTTGAATGCATTGGGTAGCTAATGAGCCCTATTTTATTGAATCCATGATCACGTATTACAGCACCAAGTGATTTTCAAATTTGTTCATTCTTAATAATAAAAATTTTCTTGAATGAGCAGTTTTTATTTTGATGTTTAGGCAGTTAGGTTTCCTCATAATGAAGATTATCCTCTTCTGACTTTGTTTAAACTTGCCAAATAGTCTAGAAATACAGGTCTCTGCATGGTGTAGGCAAATTTTTTAAAATACTTTTGTTTTTCCCTCAATGACCTTTGCACCCAATTTTTTCTGTTCTTTAGCATTTTGTTTTATTGACATGACTGTTTCTCTGATGAAGAAAAAGAACAAAGAAAACTGTGTCTCTCTGTGCTCTTGGTAATACTGAGCTGTCAGATGCACTACTGTAGAAAGACTGGTTGTGACAAAATTGGATCTGTGTTATGTCTGTGATCAGGTTTCATGAGGGAATACATCTGTGGCAGTTAAATATGTTACACAATAAGATATGACTTTTATTTGAATTTTGATTATGGATAGAGTCTTTTATTCTCAGAATTTAATAAACCACAAGCTCAAGAGGGCTTTTAGAGCAAACTGAGATTTAACTTTTGCAGTTTAAGATATGCCAAATTTGTGAAAACATATTCTTGAATGGAGCTCCAGATCTTGGCATTGCGGATATGCTTCCAGTCAAGTCTCAAGTGCTTCTCTGGAGACAAATAAATTGATAAGATATGAAAAATCCTTGGAAGAACCACTTTTATGAGACAGAGTTTACTCAGTGCATTACATTTTATATATAGAGATTGCAGGGAAACTCTTTTCGGGTACTTATATTCATGGAGGCTGAATTGCACATTTGGATACCCATTATTTTTTCTCAGTTTAAAGATCATTTTAAAAGAAATATGTATATGAAATTATAAATGCAGAAAACCAAATGGCTCAAAGTTATGTCCTTGGAGAGTCGTGTTTCTGGAACAATTTTTGCAGAAAAAATGCAAACATGATACATCTACTGTTCTGCAGTAGTCTTCCAAAGGACAATCTTGTTGACAGGTGGATCAAATAAAACCTTGTAATCTGCAATGTGATATCCTCTTTGATCATGACAGCAGAGAGGACTTTAGACACTGGAGTCTTCAACAGGTTTCAAAAATTAACTGGTGCATAAGCTAACAATAATGTGCCAACACTCAACACTATGCGAGTCCACTCTTGCAATTGTTTTTGTCACACTCACACTTAAAAAACTGACAGAAAGTTGCTGTTATGGGCTCCATTGCTATGCAGAGGTGCAATTGTTGTGAACTGCATCTTCTGCTTGATTTTACTAGAATCTTTCTCAATTAATGTACATTCAGCCAATTGTTAGATGTGAAAATGTGATCAAGATTTGAGTAATATTTTGTCCGTTGTGATAGATGTGAATTTGCAGGAAAATTTACAATCAAGCCTTCAGAATTATACCAAAATAGCACAGGGCACGTAACCCTTTACACCCTAACATGGGTATTCATATTCTCCATACTGTCCTCTGTACATTTAGAAGGTGCCGACAAGGAGAATTTGTCTGACAATCACAAGTTTCTTTAATTGGTGATCATTTCCTTTATTCTCATGACATTTATAGGTGATTCAGTGGTGATATTGTAAAGAGAAATTAGATGTTAGTCACTCTTGGGGTTTAAAGGGTTAACACAAGTGCACTGGACCCTGGTCAAGAATTCTGGGTTTGAGACCTGGCTCGGTCATTGCATTTTGTTCTTGGGTAAAACTTAACTCTCCTAGTGCTTCTCTCCACCTAGGAGTATAAACTCATACCATCAAACTGTGAGGGAAAGTTTGGGAAAATGTTGGGAAATGTTAGGAGGTAACCTGCACCATCTTTACCTTAACACGGATCACCCATATTTGCACTATCATTTTATGGTTTAAAGAACAAATCGATTTTAAACTAATCCAACTTGGATTTTTGAATCCTGAAGGGCAAACATACTTCTCAAACTCTGCTCACAGATTTTGTGATTCTTGTCATATTTTTAGATTTAAGACACAGAAAACCCTCCTGATTCAAGAGTCTTCTTATTCTAAGCAACTTCTTTTCTGTTTTACTTTTCCATCAGATATGTTTGCGGTTGATCCTGGTATCTGGCAAGACACATGAATTTTTATTTTCACCCAGTGATACAGCATATTACATAACACAACACGTCTATGAAAACTGGCCTGAAGGTTTGTTGTTGTTTGTTGGTCCTAATACTTCATTTGCATTCTGTCAAAAGAAAAAGCCTCCAGCCATAGCTTCTTTAAATTTTTGCTACCAGTGGGGCTTTTTTTTTAATTGTCAGAGCCTTTTCTCTATCAGGATGTGGAAACCCCTACTGAAAAAGAGCACTAGGTTGTTTAGAGGCATCTTTTTGCACAAACTATTTATTTACATGTTTGTAAACTTTTCGAGTCATGCAACAAGTTTAGATTCAAGTAGAAACTACAACAAATAATATTTATGGTGATGACTGCTTGATAGATATATTAGAATTCTAATAATTTACTTGTGCTTGTCTGATTTCAATTTTTCTATTAGTTGAAAATTCAGACTGTTCCCATACCAGTATTTGTTCTTAATATGTATTAAGTTTGAGTACAGAAAATATTAGTGAAATCCAATGTACCTTATATGACTGATTTAAAGTATAACATGAAAAAAGAACACCATGAATATTAAGAAAAATGATCAGAGTTTGTATATCAAGTAGATACAAGAACCAATGTTCATAATTTCTTTGATTTTGTAAGGTTGGAAAGACGAAGCGGTCAGTTCCCATAATATTCTTAAACTTATTTATCATGGACGGTTTTTACACGGAAATGTGTCTTTAGGAGGTAGGTTTTTGGACCCTTTCAATGGTTACAGTACTGCAGATAAGAAATAATCTGAAGAAGTAAGGAAAAGAAATGTTTCTATCTATATTGCATAAGAGTTGAAGAGCATGGATTGAAGCTATGCTAAATACAAAGTTTGTGCAACTCATTCCCCTCTTTAGAGTACCTACTTAGGTAGATTGTTGCATATGGCCACTTTAGTGATAAGAAAACTATCACTTGGTACCTATTTTGTACCTTATTTGGAGGAAAATTGATAAATTTATGAGGGTTTTTTTATCAATGATAAATTCAGTAAAGCAGAACAAAAGTTAAACCAAACAAAAGGACATTTAAAATATGCGTCAAAAACATCTCTCTATTCATTGAAACTTTGTTTTGCATCACTGCTTTAGAATCATTGTTGGTACCAACCACTTTTTCATTTAAAAGTTATTTTTCTCCAAAATGAAGCATGAAACGACAAAACAAACCATAGGATATCTTTGTTTTAAATTGACAGCCACTTGCAGAGATTTCCATCATTTATTTTATGTAAAAAGATGTGAAGTTATGTAACTTTCTGCACAAAAGTATCTCAGTGTTATGGTTTGAGATTTGTTAAGTGGATTAAAAATATGAGTTGACGAAGCTCACAAAAAATTGAATTCAAAGCAATTGGGCCATACACATTTCTCTCACTGATTTTATTTCATGACAGCACTTAGCCTTGAGCCCGGAAAGCGCAGCGTGATGCACCTTGTTGCAAGAGAAAACTTACCTGAACCTGCCACACAAGGTAACTCCATCCTCAATGAAGTGGTAATTTAAGTAACATCAGTCACGAGAAGTTTGGGGGAAAGAAAATGTTTTCAGAGTCCTTTGCGTTGAAGACAGAATTTATTAACAGAGCTCCAAAGTCATTCTACCGGGTTTATTAATGTTGTGCAGTCTTTCTGTCAAAAGGATACCTGGAGTCTATAGTACAACATGTGGGCAATGGAACAAACATAAATTTAAGTCAAACAGCGTTATCATTAGAAGGCCAGTAGGTGGTGGAAACCAGCCAGCCCTCATACCATTTTGTGCTGTCTACATTTGTGAATTGTGATCAAAGACAGGAAAAAATTTTGTTTTGAACTGATTCTAACATGAATGTCTGGCTAAAACATTTACTCAAATATGTCCCAGAATGCTGGAAATCACATCTGAAGTGTTTCAATTTCAAATTTTTTAAGGGGAGCATGCCCTTGGTCTCTCTCTGCAACATGTCATGCTTGTTAACGCGAGCATAATTCAATTCAGCCACCCACCTCAGTTCAGATCATACATGTGTTACATTTTCAAATGACAACCCTGAGTCAAAGATAAGAAGAGTGGAATCGTGTTTTAAAGAAGAAAATTGCTTTCAATAGGAAATATTCAAGTAGCAGTTGATTAGTATTAAAAATAAGTTCAAAGAGGTAACAGTTGGTCAAAAATAAGAATGGTGAAAGTGGAAGAAGAGGAACATGCTTTTCAATGATGAACTGAAAAAATTAGACTAAATAAATATCTTACTTTCCTTTACACTTTCACTCCTAAGATCTAATAATTAATCATCCCCAATGTTTTCCAAACATTTCCTACTATTTTCACTCTAAGAGTTTGGTTTTTAAATCAAATAACATCTAGTAATTTTTTTTGTGTGTGTGGTTCTGTGTGTGTGTGACCTTTTTGCCAAAAAATGAATATTTTCAGTCACTCTTGGAAATAACAGAGTGGTCACTCATTATAAGTACAGGAGTTTTTCCATGTATTTACACAGGCAAACTTATCAATAGAGTTTCAATTGATGCATAGGTGGGGTAGCAATAGTTTATAGTTAGTTTTTTAGTTACTCCTCTTGGTGCATCTTTGTCCAGAGAACACCATTGATATCTGTCAGATACCATTTCGACAAGATGCCCCCATGTCCAGCTGGTGTCTCTCTTTTCCCTTCCTCCAGTTCTCCTCCAGGTTTCCTCTCTTTTGTAAGCTTTTGGAGAATAATTTATATGCCAATACTTTTATTGTTTCATTTCCTTTACTAGACTTTGACACAACTTTTATCTCTTCAACAGGTCAAAGAAATCGTGAGAAAACAAGTGAACAAAGCTGTTGTTGTACAATTGTTTGACTTTTAGTTTTACTGTTTAGATGCTGAAGAGGTGATCTACTCCATATGTTCACTTCAATAGACTTGCCATTAAAATTTTTTAGAGTGTAACTCAACCATAATTTAGATAATCAGTGTGTACATGCATGTAATTATATTTGTGATTTAAGAAAAAAACTCAAAACACTTTTATGAGCAATTTTCAATATAGTGTCAAAAGTCATCTTGGATTGTATTTGGTCTGCCTCACTTTACTCTGTGACCAGCCTAAAAACTCTTGTTACTCTTTTAACAATCCTAATTCAAAATTATAAATAATAGCCCCTTGATTGCCTAAGTTTTCCTGTATTTCTGGCTCAGTTGTTCAAAGGGCAGATAACGTTATTCAACAGATAAATTTCTTTCCAGTGATTGAATATGTGTTGACAAAACACACCGCACAATACACCAGGTACAGATATATCCAGTGGATAGGGTTATCCACCTTTCCAACAATGAAGGCCTGGTAGTCTGCTTCAAGTTCTCATTGGCCACTTATGATTTTCTTATTTGTCTCCATCAGTCATTGCAATTTTGTAGCTTTGGCTTTTGGGACACTGGATCAAAAAGTGCTCAATTGGTTAATTTAAATAGGTCAAATGAGAGAAGTCATCAAAGACATGAGTAATAGTTGTGTTAGTAATGGAAGATATTTTCTTCCTTTTTTACCATAATTTATTATGATCAGTGATCACTCATAAGCTAAGAAATAATGGTTTTTTTAGTAAATATTTTTTTTAATTTCATGTTCTGGTCAATACATTGCTCTAATTGTAATTTAAAGTAAACTCTTTAGATTTTCACTTGTTATAATCTGTTTTTCAATTGTAAGTCACTACTATATTGGCATATACATCTTTTGCTGCTGTGACATGTCTCAATCCCTTGTGACAAGTCATGTTTTTCTCGGCAAGAGTCTCAATTAGGCCTCATCTATGTTATGTTGGAAAATGGAATAGTAATTCTATTTCCAAGGTCAGGCCAGCTGTCATCTGCTCACCAAAAGCAGAACACTCTTCAAAGCAAATAAATTTGGAAACAGGAGACAACATTTTCCAAGCTCTTCAAGAAGAAACACTTGCCTGCAAAACCAAGAATGCAGGCAAGTGTTTCTTTTGGTAGTTTTTATTGCATTTTCAATAAAGCAAACTTGCTTCTCCTTGAAGAGGTATAGTGTTGCTTTCAAATTTACCCAGGGCTGAGCAAACATCACTCATATTAATATAATTTCAAAGCTTTCTTCATTGCAGCAAAAGTACTGCATAAGAAATCAATTTTTATGCATATAGATCAAGAAATTCTCTAAGGTTAAAAAAATGTGCTCTACAAATGTACTGGTTTTTCTAACTCCTGCCGGAGACAAGATGCATTCAACAATGTTAAAAGGGTGTGCCCAAAATTTATAGTGAGAGGTGATGGTTGGGTACTTGTAGGCAACACCATGTTAACCATTTTTGTTGTTGTGATTCTTGTCACATATAGCAATTTTTAAGCTCAACAAACCCACTATACTCTGCCATTAGGCATCTTTTACCTAATAACTTTACAAGGAGTTGTAGTTGCCATGTGGCACTTAGAGACAGGAGAAGTTTTAGGGGCAATACAAATGTGTAAATCACACGGGAGATATAGCATGACTTTTTACTTATCAAAATGTTGTTAAGATCAAATTTCTCTTTCAAGAGTATTCCATGTCATTTAATAGCTTACACTATGCCTTATTTTTTACGTTGGTGTCACTGAAAAAGGCAATCCAATGAGTTGACTTATTATTTTGATCAATTTACAGTACTTCCATTATTTTATGTTAAAGAGGGACACTGTTAGAAATTTGTATGTTAAGTTTGCCATCTTCTGAATTTAAAGAGATGTTAATTCAAATTGTTCCTTGGTATAGCAGAAGCTAAAGTATGCTTTAGATACCATGTTGGGATTTTGGTGCTGTTCAGTGTCATGCTCTTTCTTTGCTTTAAATCATATTACGATCACAACCATTTCTACCACTAAGAGACTCCTACATTTTTTCATTATTATTTCTTAGTTGCTTAACCACTGCAGTTTCAGTGAGGGTTTAATTTTTATTAGCTATGTGCAAGGAATTTCATAACCCTCTGTATTATTCCCCTTTTCAGATTTTCTAGTCACCTTTGAACTCCCAGAGGTAATTACTAAGTTGAAATATACTTAAGATATGTTTTCAAACAAAATGGAGCTTGGTAATATTCTATTCAAGGTCTCAGAACTAGCTAACAAAAAAAAAGTGTTATTTTCGGTTGGGATAATCTGTAGGGTATATCAGGTAAAAGTGTGCTTTCATTCTTGGTGACTGTTTTTGCCTATTGAGCATAAATAACTTAAATTTTTTTATAAAAAAAATAGATTTTATTTTCTCACATGTTTACCTCACCTTGTGTAAATATATTAAATAAACTGCTGAATAAAAGGTCTTACTGCGTGTACACAGCCTTGTGCTTTTAATCGGAAGATGTACAAATTAAACAACATTTATTCTGGAAATCTACCTATTTATCTGAACCCTTGACCCCCAAGATCTGATTTATTTAGTAACTCTTACTATTGCCTGCCATACAATTTTAAAGATATTAGCTCAAAGAATTTGGGATTGGATCAACTACTAATCCTCTAGTTGATATTTTTCTTTACTCTCACCTCTTGTCAGCTTAATATTTTTAGGAGAAATTCAGTCTTGGTAATTCATGTAAGTTAATGGCAAACCAGTAACTTGTTCTTGGAGCCTATGTTACAGATCTTTAGCAAAAGGGGTGTGTAAGACCCTCTCTCAAATGGCTGATGAGGGAAACAGAAACTTTGGAAACAAAGTTGAATAAGAACATGGTCCAGTTAGTAAGTAGCTAAAATTCTCATGGAGCATAACATGGAAAGTAACCAGTCTTCAATCGTACCGAAATTCCATGGCAAACTGGACAAGTTCTCCTGGTTCCCATCTACTTGCCCACTGAAATACTGATAATTATTTCCCAGATCTATTGATTCATCATCGCTCATTGTGCCAGTAGGCACATAAGGCTGTCACATTGTCTGCCCAAACCCCCCTGTTGCCTGCCACCACCTTGGCCCAGCTCCTCCACCCCGCCTTGCCTCTCTCTCTTCTGACAGTCCTTCTCCAAGAAGTCTTTGGTCTCCCTCTCGCCCTTGGACCTTCCAGTGTCCACCCCAATGCTGTAGAACAGTCATTCACACCCTCTCCTGAGTATGTCCTAAACAGTTCCAACTTCTTTGCACCTTGTCACTAATTTCATTGATCCCTGCCCTTTCAACCACTCTATTCTCTTGTTAGTCATTCTATGCTGCCATCTAATCCTCAGTATTCACCATAGGTATTGGTATCGGAAACTGTTCAGTTTTTTTTCATCAGTCTTTGTGGTATTCCATGTTTCACAACCATATAGCAGGACTGGTCGGACTGAAGTCTTGAATAGTCATATCTTGGTTCCCCTTCCTATTCCTCTGGCTGCCCACACCTTCCATAGCCTCTGGAATGCACCTTGTGCCCTCTGCAGTCTGTTCCTGATATCTTTACTGCCTCCACCTTCCTTGTCTACAATAGCTCTAAGATACACAAACTCCTTGACATCTTCCACTTCTTCACCAGTCACCACAGTGTTCTCCCTGTTCTGAGCAAACTCAGTCCTCATTTAGTTTAAGGCCTACTCCGGCTTCTTCCTCCATCAAACTCCCACTCTTCTCACCCAAGTC